CAGTCACTCTGAAAATATTCAAATTTTTTCATAAGAGCCACTGCCTTCTCCATGGCCTCATGAGAGAAATCAATATTCGATCGATAATGAGTGCACAGGCACAACAATCTAAACTGATTTGCTGTGAAGTTCTCCAACAATTCCTTGATTGTAATGGTGTTCTGGAGGCTTTTGGACATTTTGTTGTCCTCTAGGTGGAGGAGACCTGAGTGAAGCCAGTAATTCACCCACTGGGATGTCTGATGATAGCAACAAGATTGCGCTTCTTCGTTCTCGTGATGAGGAAAGCTTAGATCGATCCCTCCACTGTGAATATCGATGTTGTCACCCAGGGTGATTGATGCCATTGCACTGCACTCTATATGCCATCCTGGTCTCCCTGGTCCCCAAGGACTGTCCCAAAAGGGCTCGTTGGTCTTTGCAGCTTTCCACAGGGCAAAATCAAAAGGCGAGAGTTTTGTGGATGCTGTGTTTACATTTTCATCTGGTTTTCGCAGTTTTCCATACGAGGGGCATTTTGAAGTGTTGAAGTAGATGGAACTGTCGGTGGACTTGTAAGCAAATTCTTTGGTAATGAGGTTGGAGATGAAGTTTATTATCTCTGGAATGTAGTCGGTTACTCGACAATAGAGATATGGGGGAAGAACGTTTAGTTGGGACATTTCTGATAGAAATTCCTGTTCGTAATGTTTGGAGAGGTGATGCCATGATGAGAATTTCGAAGAACCCTGCGAGTGCAGGATTATCTTGTCGTCTATGTTTGTGATCCCCATCACTGGGAGGACGGATATTGAGAAGAAGTTGGATAAAATACGACGGATTATATCGAAGCGGATGTAGGAACTGAAATACAAAATTCTCCATTACAATATCATTTATTATAAAAAAAAAAAGATAGGCAGTATTAACGGTAATACAAGTCAATGATTTAATTATTAAATTATTACAATTTATAATTCGGTGATAAGATTCAGAGATATTCATCTAAAATTCATGTAGAAAATAAATTGACTTGTTATCGTTCACCTCTGGGTACCCAATTATTTTATTATCAACAAATTATTAATGTAATCATAATTATTTACTGTAATTATAGTCAATGGTTACCAAGCATGTCCTATGTGAGCAGAATCATAAACAGTGGGACCACAAAGATACCAAGTGGCAGTTTTATAATTCTTCAGAATCAGTGGCACTTTTTTCTTGACAATTGGATTATAAACAGAAATTTCGGTTTCATAACCGACTGGCTTAACCCACACCGGATCCAC